CTCCCCTGTTGTAATGTTTTGAGCAGTGTGTGTAGAAATTTACAAAGTAGTCACGACCTGCTTCCTTTAGGTGGCGCCACAGAGGATCATCCACAAACCTCCCCTGAGGTCCCCCTCTTCATCCTCCACCCTCCCTCCTCTGCACATGCTCAGACCGTCCCAGCCTCCCTGACTCTGAGCTGTCCCTCTGATGGACTCATTTCTGGTCCCGTCCCTGCTGTCCAACATCTTCAGCTCGGCCTCCGTCTCTGAACCCCAGCAGGTCTTTAGACCCTCTCCTCCTGTCACAGATCAGCTCTCACACGTCTCCACCTCTCTTTGGTGGCTGGTATTTAAACTCCTCCTTCCTCGCCTCCCTCTGATTCACTCGTTTATTCTGAGCTGCTTCTACTGACTTTCTCCTCCTCTCACCTGCTCGCTTTAATCATTAATAATATAAGAATTCATCTGTTGAAGTCACAGAAGTCTGACAGTAAAATAAATCCGCTCTCATTTCTAGTTTCATGAACTTTGCTCAACTTTACTTTACTTTATAAACTTAAACGTGCTCGGCCTGTCGTGACCCAGTTATGGTTGAATAACTGAGGCTCGTGTCTCCATAATCATCACAAATCGACTAAAATAAGAAGTAAAAGTTAAACAGTCTCTTATCTGCTCCTTCAGACAAATATGGGCGAACTCAGGGAAACAGACTTTGAACTTTAACCTTTAGGCCGATACCACAGACCTGAAAGCTCCGCCCTCCTCTGTGCTTTACATCTCCCTGACCTGCACCGGTGTCTGTGTGCAAAAGGCTCCATGTTTTTCATCTGGAAACAGTCGTTCATGTAAAACTAAAGAGATTGCATCAGATTGTTAAAAATGACTAAATGCTTCGTTATTCATTAAACGGTGATAACATGTTTGTAATTCCTGTTGGAGCTTCTACGGTTGCAGCAGACGGATGTAAATATTTGTTTAGATTTGATTGGCTTCAGTTTGTGTGTCAGCAGAGTTTTAATACTGCAGCACTGATGCTTTCTAATCAAGTAAAATATGAATACTTCTTCACTGCTCGTTCAGCTGCTGTTTGATCTGCATCTGTGTTTAAGAACTTCTCACATGAACATCACAGAATGAAGACACGTGCACACTTTCATTCATAATAATTGACTTTATTTATCTCCCTGTGAGGACACAACATGTCATTCAAGTGTAGTTTCACTTTTTTCAGGCTGATCTCACATCGTTTTACTTCTAATGAAAAAACTGTATTTCTTCATTATTATCTATAAAACAAAGTGACGTCCAAGCTTGTTCAGCTTTAATTAGTTAATGATGATGAAAGCATCACATTCAGAAAATCAAACAAACGGAGAACTCAACGTCTCAAAATAAGAGAAGCAAACATTAAAAGTTATTT